CTCCCTCTGACCCCACTCCCTCTCCTCCATTTCTTCAGTTCCTTATGTGGGACCCAGACTCTGGCAGACTTTGCTCTTTCAGTCTTTCTGACTCCTCATTTCCAGCATACACATTTGCACAAGCACACGCATGCACACCATGCATGTGTACACTCACACAACCTCTCTATGCTGCTCAGTCACCACAGCACACCTTGTTCATACAGCAAATCCTCTACCAACCTAATGCAATACAACTCTTTGAGGTCCAAGGGAGAGCATTTCTGGCATAACGAGGTCTCAGCTAACTTCCCTGTATCTTAAAGCCCTTTTGGCACCCAGCTCCCTGGCCCTGAGGAGCCTTCGCCCTTGCCTCATCACCGTCCCAGCCCATCTTCTCCCTAGCTCTAGCCTTACTATCCTCAGAGGCTCAGAAAGGTACCACGGCAAACCTCATTGATTTCAGCCATCAACTCAGAGGGAACCCAAGAGCAAGCCTGCCTGCCTGCCACCTCTACTCTGCCCCTCCAATCCTTCCTCTACAAGCCAGCTGCTGGGGCAGAGCTCTATACTGACACCATGACATGCTCAGCAGCACAGACCCAAACACCTCCAGATGAGAACTCCCCTCATGGCAGTCTCCTCTACCACTCATTTTCCGGAGATGGTGTCCTACTGCACAGCATCTAGGGCCCCCACAGCCATAACAACCAATGTACTATCCCTCATCTCATTACTTTGAGACATCATTTATCTCAGGGCGCCTCCTCAGACCTTAGCACAAACGCTAAGAAAACAGCCAATGAAAATCACTGAAGCTGTCATTTTTACCAAAGACTATATGGTCAGTGATGGGGATCCTGTGGGTTGAAATCCAGTTGTTTGTTTGTTTGTTTGTTTGTTTGTTTTGCCAGTCCACTAGCAATGTAACTGAATTGTATATAGAAGAATAGTGCCTAATATTTCAGGAACCATTCATCTGCTCCGTAGCCCTAAACTGCTTTTAGATGATCAAGTAGCTAGCACGGTGCCTGATACATAGTAGGTGTCCAATAAATGTTTACTCAATATTGAACAAAGTACCAAGTGCCAATCCCAACAACTCTGGAAAGGACTGCAGGGAGTCCCTGAAACCTGGCTTCTGGAGGAGCCTCCTCAAGCTCACACCAGGAGTGAATCGGCAGGCTAAGCACAGCCCCCTTAACCACTTGCTCTCCATGAACAAGTACTGAAGAACTGCCTCAACTCTCCTCCTCTCGAACACATTTCTCTTCAAAGGTGACATCAGCACCTAGTGGCACTTAGTCCTAGATCCCTCCTCCTCCTCAAAGAAACCACCTACAACACATTTCCAAGTCCTCCAGCCCGACCTCCCTTCCTACCCACCATAAAACCCTCAACATCCGTGCTGGGTAATCCCCCTACTGTGTTCACTAGCAAGCCCCTCACCCTCCCCCCACCCGGCACACCAGTTCAGGAATCTCTATTACGAACGTCTTTTCCTGTTGCGCCCACCCTCATCCCCACCCCCACCCAGGCCTCGACTAGCCATTCCTTCCACCCCACCGCCCCAGCACTGCGGAGATGGGGGGCATCTTTGGTACGGCCTGACACCCTGACAGTTCCAGGAATGCAGAGCTGACGATAGTAACCAAGGGCGTAAAGAGGCACGCGAGAGGGATGAAGACCCCCGGGAAGAACGAAGACCTCAGCCTCTCACAAGCGCTCGCCCAAAGGAGCAGAGTTGGCCCCCAAGCCCAAAGGCGCTTTTGCTCTGACTCCTGGAGAGGATGTGGGGGCGCAGTCCAACCTGGCTGCCCCCTCCCAGGAAGGCGATGGAGCTGATGGCGAACTCTACGCCCTCCCTGCAAAACGGGCATCGACCCCCATTCTCATCCCCAAGGGCACAGGGCACAGCAAAGGCGAGGGGCGACGAAACCCGCGCCCCGCAGAGACACATCCAGACCATCAGAGGCTGTTTCCCAAGGCGCACTAACAGAGACTCCTCCTCAAACTGTCCTGGGGAGCTGGAGCTGAGGAAAGGGGAATCCTTTCCAGTGGAGTGGGCTGTGGGCGCTCACCTGCGTGGAATCGCCGAAGGCCCAGCGGCAGCAGGGCGCCGCCCCCGACCTCGGCAGCGCGAGGCGTCCTAGAGGCAAGCGCGCAAAGGTAGCTGCAGCCTCCGCCGCCCAGTACCCGGCCTCTAGGACCCGCCCCCCTTCCTCCGCGGATGCCCCGGCCCCACCCCCCAGGGGCGGGGCCTGGCCGCCTCTCCCCTAGGCCACGCCCCCAACACCCTGGCGCTCCCTAGACCGGGTTCACACGTGACAAGGGCGCTGCTTTGATACTGTGCGCCATCTTGGTTGGGCCTGAGAGGGCAGGGCCAGTATTTAATCTGGTAGGTGTTTAGGCCTCGGAACTGAGAATGCACAGCACATCCTACACGCTTCTCCCCCTGGACCTCACTACCAAGTCTAACCTGTTCCCTAAATGGCCAGTAGTTGGTCACCTTTCACACGTTTTTAAATAGAGAAACTGGAAACCCAGCTACTCTCACAGTATGTGCTTCAGTAAATTATGATTTGCCTTCAGGCATGTGACTGTCCTAACACTGTTACTATAAAATGAAGTGTTTGTCTATGATACATACATCCTATGAAAAAACATGCTCATATGCCAAAATTCTGACAAATTTTAGCTAAACCTATTTTCCTGAATTGCTCCCTTTCCCTGCCCCCGTGGCTATTAATGTATCTTTACCATCTGGTTTGTGAAGTTTCATTACAGTGCCTACTCAAATCCTTTACAAATACCCCCATAAGCACTGTTGTAAGTGTGAAGAGCTAGCTGTGGGTTTTTTTGGGGGTTTGGTTTTTTTTTTTTTCCAAGACAGTTTCTGTGTAGCCTTGGCTGTTCTGGAACTCACTCTGTAGACCAGGCTGGCTTGAATCCAGAGATCTGTCTGTGCCTCTGCCTCCCTTGTGCTGGGATTAAAGGTGTGAGCCACTACCACCCAGCATCGAAGAACCATTCTATACATGCATTATGCACTTACAGATCTATGCACATTCTGTAACAGCAACATCCTGCATAAGTTGTAACTGAGATCAGTTAACCAAGCCTTCAATCATTTTCTCCCAATATAGTCGACATATTCTTTGCATTTTTAGAGAAAGGCAAGGAAATGTAATTCCAATAGGGATTGCAGAAGGGATTGCAGAAGCTAAATTTGTATTTTTTTTACCCTCTGAGCAAAAACATACATATATAGTTACATATATGTATATAGTATACACCTATATATTTGAAGAAGTGAAAATTAGTTTTTAGACCTAGTCTTCAAAGTTCCGATTGTTCTCCAGGTGGTCTAGTGCTTACCAAAAGGCAATCCTAGAGACTCCTCAGATCCTTCCATTAACAAAACATGAATAATGCCAGAAAAGGCAATTCAGCCAAAGCTGAGGAAGACTGAAGCCATGGCAACCATGAAGAACCACTTTACCAAGTGTTGGCAACGTGTTAAGAACACAGCAGAGACAGTAACGTCAACGGCAGAATACAGTTACCTATCACCACACCATGGAGTTTGGCACAAGCACTCAGAAAACAATTGTAAGCCACATTTATTTCCCCCCTTAAGTAACCCTGAAAGGGGAGACACACCCACCAGGACAACATCCCTGCTCCAGGGCATCCTTTGTTCGGGGACTCCAGACTGTGCTTCTTTCCTTCTGCTTCAAAGAAACAAACTTTTGATTGCAGAGATCTGTAAAGGGCTCACCTTGGGTTTCTGTTTGCTTCTGGTAATTAAATACCCAAATTCTGGTTGTCCAGGTTTTGTTTGTTTGTTTGTTTGTTTTACTGACCCAGGCTCACTTTCTGTTCAACCAACATTAATATTCCCCTTGGGGTGGGGTAAGGCTAGCTGTCGGCAGTAATATTAAACAGATGCTTCTTAAGAATGTTCTTTAAATAGTGTGGGGTAGGGAGAGTGATAAAAACCAACACACTATCTTAGCAGTTTAGCTCACAATAGTGCCTATCCCATAGTATTTTTATGTTTCAGGAACATTGTCTCTGTCCTGTCTGGTGACTCACACCTGTAATCCTTACACTTCGAGTGGCTAAAGTAAGAGTCTCAAGATGACTCCTTTTTGAGGCAGGGAAGCTGGACTGAAGACTAGGGGGTTGAACTCAAGATCTTGAATATAAGAATATTTACTGTCTTACTACCTACCTCCTGCCACACTCAGGAGGAAAAGGAAACAAGGTTTTCTTCTTAGCAAAAGAATAAACAAAAAAACCACCCATGATCCTTTTCTCAGAGCATGCCAGTGACAGAACTTTGACCAAAGGAGGGTGTCAATACTTCTGTATGGACAGAAAGAAGACCAGGCTCCTTAAACCACACAGGATGATTTTAAAAAAGAAAAGCAAAGGCTGTAAAGTACAGGACAGGGCAGAGAAAAGCCACTAATTGATTCTAGTTTAGGGCTGGTTTCAACATGCAGTGCATTTTTTGAAAATGACCTTTAGCACAATAAAGGCTTTCTAACAATTTAATACAAACACAATTCTTCTTCAATTGTTTTACCTTTCAGTTAATGCATGTCTATGTGAAAGATTCAAACTAACTCATTCTCTTCTTTATTTATCACATTCTGCCTACTCCTTTTTACTACTGTGTACCACAAGAAAAATGACTGGCCTTTGAAGTTGTGCAAAAAAAGACACGGGTCAGAATCCTCTGCATGGACCAGCAGCTCTGGCCTTGGATAAGTCACTGATTCAGTTTCTCAACCATAAAACGGGAAAGGTTTCAACTACCTTGAAAGACACAAGGATTAGAGACACAATATATTAAGTTCTTAGAATAGTACCAGGGGCACATAATCATAACCATCACTATCAGTCTCATGCAATAAAACAAAAACCCAAAATACAAAATCAGCAAAACAATCAATATTCATGTAATAAATGTCCGAAAGCATTTTTTTAAAAAGATGCACAAGTCAATCTTGTAAGATTCTGACAGTCCTGTCACCTGCTTTATTTCTGGAGAAGGGTAAAGGGAAAAGAAAAAAAATATTCACTTGAATTTGAGGAGCAGCAACAATGGAGCAACCATTTTAAACCTCTGGGTTCCTCTGATCCATAAGGGAAAACTTCCTTGCTTGAAAAGTAAGAGTCTAATTTTTTCCCTAGTGCAAGATCATCCATCTTTGTTGAGATAAAAGAATAAAACAAACTCAACAGCACCAGCTGGGGTTTAACACAGAAAATGAGGCCAGGGTTCTCCTTTGAAATATGCAAACTTTACATTAAAACGTTTATAAATCATACTTGTTTTTCCTCTTGATTCAACCTTTCCACCTCCTGTAATCGGAGCCCCAGGAACCCAAACAGCATGTGCATCACTAATCAGATATACAGTCCAGCTGCCCCTCCAAACAGAATCTGATTACTAACAGACTAGACTGGAAGCTGTCCCAAGGGATGGGCAGCAGTAACTATGCTCTTAGGGAGAATGGATACTGGGGATGCCACCAATCAAAGAGTCGAACACTGTGTACTGGGTCCAGGACGACTTGCACACCCTGTTCACTGCGCAGATTCTGACCACCACGGACAGGAGAATCTTGGAACACCAATCTCACTCGATGATGCCGCATGTCTGTACTCACATTAATAGTAAACTACGAGAGAAAGGCACATTCAGCATTTAAATTGAAATATGTTTAGTATTTAATTTAACCTTGGTTTCGTTGGGCTCTTCTTGATTTGGTCTACACATAATACACCTTGGTTCAGTCTCAAGGTTCATCTTTTAAGTTATGGTACCAACACATTTGTAAAGACAAAAAAGGTTCAGGATGATTTTTATAAGAGTAATTAATGGTTTGTGTATCTAACATGTTAAAGGGCCTTACAGATAGATAAGTAACTTAGGATACATGTACACATTCTACCACAAAAGACATTTGTATTATACATATAGGATAAAGATGGAATTCTGTTAAGATACTGATGAATAAGTCAAGCATGAAATCTAATACATGAAACCTAAGCCTGAACCCGTTGTTTTGTAAAACAACAACAAAAAAGAAAAAAATACTTCAAGTATTTATATGTAGGTCTATACAGAATTAGTATGGCATATACAGAATACGAATAACTGTGAGGTCATTAATGTGGCATAACATGAAAGGAGGGAGAAGTGCCTATGATAAAAACAGTATTAAGATACAATTTCAACACTAGAAAACTAGCTACAAGAGGATGCATACTTGAACATATAAACAGACACACTTTAGAAACAGTCCCCAGAAGGTTAATTGTAGTTATAGGACAGTGGCAGTCTGAGTCACGTATACTTTCCTAATAAATTTGTGCATTATTTAAATCTTCATGACACATAATCTATTATTTAAAAAATTAAGCCTTTTCATCATAGAGAAGAACTGCACACATCGCTGAACTTAAGTCTAAGACATACAGAATACAAATACTAAATAACATGAACTTTCTGGCAGTCTATCCAAACAAGTATTTTTGAACCATGGATAATATACCCTATAGGCATATATATTATTTACTCCTCTAACTACTGGCCATGTTCTGAAGAATCAGAGCATCACATAAGAACAGAGCTAGTTCTCTCTATTTTAATATTCCATTATGGAAGTACATGAATGCCCAAGGTCCTGACAGTGCTCACTGTGTTGTGTACCAATGCTCCCTTCAAAGCACCATCTTTCAACCACTGATGATCCCTGCACATGTAGGAAGATGTAAAAGCCTTCCCTTAAGAGACAAGAAAACATCCTCAGATATAATTAACCTCTCCCCGATGGCTCAGAGGTTAAGAGCACTAACTGCTCTTTCCAGAGGTCATGAGTTCAATTCCCAGCAACCACATGGTGGCTCACAACCATCTGTAATGAGATCTGGTGCCCTCTTCTGATGTGTAGATGTACATGGAGGCAGGGTGTTGTGTTTATAATAAATAAATCTTTTTTAAAAAATAAATAAATAATTAGCCTCTCCCCATATCTGTCTTTCTAATATGCAAGTCTGATTTCAGACTTTGTTTTGTTTTTATTTGGGAAGTGTTTGCTTTGTTTTTTTTCTTTTGTGGGTTTTATTTTGTTTTTGGTGTGTGTACAGTCACTTGATGGGAGAGAAGGGGTGCATATGTGCATTATTCTGGTTTTAATTTTTGGCTTTATTATTCTTCAGTGATTCCTTCCCAACAGTTAAATCGACAAATCAATTTCAAACTACAGACACAATGAGAATCTATAAAAGAGCTGAATCCCCCACTTACCAAGGTAAATATCATCCCCATGACAATAGGAATAAAGATGAAATTGAGGGTGGTAACCTGCAGCAGGCAGCAATCCTGGTCAGGGTTGGTATGAACATCCTCATATTGAATGGGTGGTTGCAACCGGTCCATACACTTGCTCTTTAATCTAGGGGACTAAGGAGGGTTAAGTATTAATCTAATGGTTTAGAGGAAATATATGTATGTTCTTAAAGATGTTATGAAGGAAAATCCAACAGGTAATGTTCATGAGATAAAATTTTCTGTCATCTTTCTGCATACATACTGGTTTCAATGCAGAGATTAATTTACCTGTTAAGAAAGGGGAAAGAGGGGCTGGAGAAATGGCTCAGGGGTTAAGAGCACCGCTTGCTCTTCCAGAGGTCTTAATTTCAATTCCCAGGCACCACATGGTGGCTCACAACCATCTACAATGCATCCTGGTGCCCTCTTCTGGCCTGCAGTACAGGCATATATGTAGGCAGAACACTGTATACATAATAAATAAATCTTTTATAGGAAAAAAAAGGTAAAGTGCATGTTTAGATTAGTAAATATAGCAATGGGTCTATATGCATTTGATAATATTTCCACCATCTGATAATAAATGGCTCTAACAGCCACTCCCCAATGTTTGAAAGGCTGCAAATTCCATGTGATTTGTCAGACTTCAGAGTATCTGCTGCAGAAAAGGAACAGATGCAGAATAGAACTCCAAATTCCAGATACCATGAAACAGGATTCACCAGTATCAGGACGAAAGAACTCTCAGCATTCCGTATCCTGCAGTAATTCCGGTCTCCTGTCCCATTTCTCCACTGCTAGGGCTTCCCCTCAGGAAAAACAAGGTATCTAATTGATAGCACAGACTGTGAGTTTCTTACAAAGACATGAGAGCCACATTTCTTCATGAGAACCACTTTAGTTAAAAACTGTGGGGCCAGCAAGATGGCTCAATGTTGAAAGCTATGCACTGGCTATCATCAAGAGAAGGGAGAGCAGCTGGGCAGTGGGACACATGCCTTCACTTGGAGGCAGGAGCAGGTAGATCTCTAGGAGTTAGTTCAAGGCCAGGCTAGTATACAGAGCAAGTTCCAGGACAGCCAAGGCTACACAGAGAAACCCTGTCTCAGGGAGAAAAAAAAAAAAAATCAAGAAACAGAGGTCATGAATTTGAAAGACAGCAAGTGTCAAGGTTACATGGGTCAGTTTATAGGGTGGGAAGGGGGGGAAACAATGTAATTATATGTATAATTTTTGGTTTGTTTTCAAGACAGGGTGTATCTGTGTAACCCTAGCTGTCCTGAAACACTCTGTACACCAGGCTGGCCTCAAACTCACAGAGATCTTCTGCCTGCCTCTGCCTCCCAAGCACTAAGATTAAAGGTGTGCACCACCATCTCCTAGTAGAGAAATCCTGTCTTGAAAAACCAAAAAGAGAGAGAGATGATAAGTAACTATACACAGCCCATCAGTGAGTTAAGTAGAGGAGATAAGCTTGAGAGAAAAAGCAGATCTTCACTGTGACCCAGATCATAGGCAGAGTCAAGCAACAGTAGACAGAATAAGCATATTTGAACAAAATTTTTGGCAATGCATTCCCAAATTTCCTCAGATATAAAACCATGGATATCATCACTATTCAAATTTAAAATTATGGTTATTTTATTTCATGTGCGTCTGTCTCTACATATGTGGGTGAACATGTGCACAGTGACTGGATGGAGGTTGGAGGACAACGCATGAAGTCAGCTCTCTTCTTTCACCATGTGGGCTCTAGGAATGAACTCAGGTCATCAGGCTTGGTGACAAGTGCCTTTTTACCTGCTGAGCCATCTCACTAGCCTAAATACCTTAAATGTTTGACCAAAGGGTATGTAAATAATTTCAGTACATTTCTAAAATGTCCCCCTTCCCTAACTTTTAAATATATAATTATACACATAAAAAGTTCTTATATATACTCAACCACTGAATAGTTTACCATGATTTACCTACTTTCCTTCCTCTCATTTTGCTCTTGGTTTTCTTATATGTTTTTAAAATTATAACTATTTATGTCTTTAATTCCAGTACTCTGGAGGTTTGGTCATCAGGGAGTAGCACTACTTGGGAGGGAATAGTAAGTGTGGATTTATTGGAATAGATATGGCCTTGCTAGAGGAAGTATGTCACCACCAGGTGTGATAGTTTGACTGTAACTGGTCCCCATAATCTCAGGAAGTAGCACTATTAGGATGTATAGCTTTGTTGGAATGGGTATGGCCTTGCTGGAGGAAGTGTGCCACTGTGGGGTGGGCTTTGAGGTTTCCTGTGCTCAGGATACTGTCCAGTGATTCAGTCGACTTCCTGTTGCCTGCCAGATATATTTCTCTCAATTCTAGCACCACCATTATCCCCGTCATGATAATGAACTGAACCTCTGAAACTGTAAGCAAGCCAACCCAATTAAATGTTTTCATTGTGAGTTGCTATGGTCATGGTGTCTCTTCACAGCAATAAAAACCCTAACCAAGGGGGTAAGCTTTGAGGTTTCAAAAGCCCAAGCCAGGCTCAGATCCAGATGTAGAACTCTCAAAGTACTAACTGGGTGGTTGCACACGCCTTTAAACTCAGAATTCAGGAGGCAGAGGCTGGCAGATCTCTGTGAGTTCAAGGCCAGCCTGGACTACAGAACGAGTTCCAGGACAGCTAAGGCTGTTATACAGAAAAGCCCTGTCTCAGGAGGAAAAAAGAGAACTCTCAAGCTACTTCTCCAGCATTGTATCTGCCTGTATGCTATCATGCTTCCCACTATAATGATAATGGACTAAACCTCTGAAACCCCCTGTAAACCCCAACTAAGTGCTTTCTTTTATAAGAACTGTCAGTGTCATGGTGTCACTTCACAGCAATAGAACAGCAAGGTATTATGCATATTTAATTTTCCTTAGCTGCCCACAAAATGTGGGTGGGAGTGGGGTGTGTGAGGGTAGATGTGTGAGCTCCAGCACTCTGCACATTTCCACCTGCCCACACTGGGCTAACAGAAGCACACCACCACATCAGTTTTTCCATGGGTTTGAGCAGCCAAATTCAGATCCTCATGCTTGTGACAAGTATTTTATTTACTGAGCCAAAACTACACACACACACACACACACACACACACACACACACACACACACACACCTCTTATAGCTCTGTTCTCTGATCTGGGAATCTTTCAAGGTTTATCTTGGGTAACAAACCAAAGTTGCTATTCCTTTTTTTTTTTTTTACATCAATATAAAATACTAATAGCAAACACTTTAATCCAAGCACGCAGAAGGACAAGCAGGGGGATCGGGGGATCTCTGTGAGTTTGAGGACAGCCTGATCTCTGTGAGTTTGAGGACAGCCTGATATACAAAGCGAGTTCCAGGACAATCAAAGTTACACAGAGAAGCCCTGTCTCAAAAACCCAAAAAAAAGTTTCCTCCAAAATTTATTTTGAAATTTAATCTACGGTCATATAAGAAATGGAAGCTGGGTGGTGGTAGCACACGCCTTTAATCCTAGCACTTGGGAGGCAGAGGCAGACGGATCTCTGTGAGTTCAAGGCCAGCCTGGTCTACAGAGTGAGTTCCAGGACAGCCATGGCTACACAGAGAATCCCTATCTCAAAAAAAAAAAAAAAAAAAAAAGGGCAGAGGCTTTAAAATGAATTCAGTCCCTTTTAGCCTCCCATCACAGCAGCTATGTGAGAATACACAGGGTACAATAAGGCACACTATTTTGAAAACAAAAGGACCAGAGCCTCATCACAGAATATGCAAGTACTTTGATCTTGGATTTCCTGGCCTCCAGAACTATGAGAAAATTAATATCTGTTCTTTATAAACAACCCAATCTCTGGTACGTTGTTATGATCCCACAAAAGGATTAAGACATGATGAAACTCATGAAATAAGATATCTGAAAGATGCAGAGACACCTCAGCAGTTAAGAACCCTTGCTATTCTTGAAGGACTCAGGTTTGGTTCCCAGCACTCACATAGAGGCTAACAATTGTCCATAATTCCAATTCCAGGGAATCTGGCACCTTCTTCTGGCCAACACAAGTACCAGGCATACACATAGTGCACATGGACACATACAGACAAGACACTCAATAGACAAGCCAGACATGATGGCTCACACCTTTAATCTGAACACTTGAGAGACAACAGAAGCAGGTAAATCCCTGCTAGTTTGAAGCCAGTCTGGTCTACATGGTCAAGGTTCAGGATAGTCAGGGATACATAGATATATAGACTGTGTCTCAAAAACAATAACAAAAAAACTAATACAAAATAAAAAAACTCTTCATTTTAAGGAGGGTGTGGATAGTGGTTGGAACATGAGTGTGGTGCCCTAAAAGGCCAGAAGAGGGTACTAGATGCTCTAAAACGTGGGTTCTCTATAAATGCAGTACACTTCCTGACCCTCCAAGCCATCCAGCTCTCCAAATAAATCATCTTAAAAAAATTAAATTTATAAAAATACGGAGACAAAAAGGATACATGCCTGTTTTTTGAACTTGAAGTTGAACTCCCACATTGGTTCTTGTCTGTTCCCAACAATCTTTCTGCACCAGAAAAGTAAGCACTGTAAAAAAAGCAAAAATAAACTATGGGAATGATATTAAAATTTATTAAGTAATAAAAAGTTAATAAGCAAAAATATCTCTGACAGCTCTAAAGCCAACTACAGTTGCGATGCAGAGGATTTACTTTGATACACACAGACCCCAACTTGACACTGGTGCACCATGAAGACAGTCACAATGCTATTCAGGAAGGAGAAGAGGGACCAATACAAGTCAACCTCAGAGGCTTACTAAGATCAACCCCTATGTTCTCATCTTTAAAGACAGAAATATGTATCTACAGTGTGGGGCATTTTCTCTGATTCAGCAGCCACTGCTCTACATTAAAATATAAAGGCAGCAAGTAGCCACCAGGCAAGATGGTTAACAAGGCCACAAAGCAGGCAAGGAGGGCTAGCCTGTAACAGGAACAAGCCACTCAGGACCTTCTAGGAACAGACAGCTGTTATGGAAACCAATGAGCTAAGCTGAATTCAGTCTAAAGCAAGCCCCTCACTGAAGTCAGGCTATAGCTAGGGTTAAGCACAAGAAGTGAAGTACCTCCCAGGGGGCAAGGGGTGGGTCGTCCGCCGTGCCAGCTGTCCTGCCTTCAGACATGCCCTGTACGTCCTGCTGCTCCATCAAAAATAATGGGCTTGGCTTTTAGGGGAAAACACTTCTGCTGCCATCACAACGGCTCCAGTGTCCCACACAAGCTATGCTACTGAAAAGAGAGAGAGGGGATCAAATACGAAAAGCTGGTGTCCAGGATATGGGACAACTTCCTTTAGGCATGCTGGCAACCGAGTGCCATGCAATTACAGGCACGTAAGTGGTGAGGCCATGCATCAAGCATCTGCCATTACAGGACCCGTATCCTCTCCAGAGTATCTCTAACAATACAAAAAGAGGGTGCCAGGTAGCCTGTGCTCACTACCTGGGTTAAGAGCTTATTTTTCAATCCACTTTGGCTTCATAATCTACTTTAAAAAAAAAAAAGACATGGTAATAAGAGTGTAAAGATATGGGTATTTTAGAATGTAAGCAGTAGCCCTTGCATTGTGCACTGGAGCCGCTAAGATGTGTCAGGCATGAGGAGTTTGCCCAATCAATGCTGCCCTGCTCCATACCTGGCATGGTTAACTCTGCAATGACTACCACTCTCCTTATAGTTAATCGAATAGTATTAAATGCTTCTAGGGAGGAAGACACTGTAAATGTGAGATGGGACACTGTCCACTCACATTACAAGCAGAAGCAGCTTCAGGGTAAAACTCTACTCATGCAACACACTACTCCTTCCCTAAATCCATCAGCTAGCATTGTATCAAACAGGGTTAGGTCAAAGGTCCTGATGACCTCCACTGCTAAGTGCTGCAGGGCGATCTGGTTACCTTGAAATCAACAGTACCTTTTAATTCCTGGAATTAACATAGCCTTAGAGCTCAACTAGGAGAGAAGAAGCATATAACTATACAAGCAAAAAGGCAAAGTACAAGAGAACAGGAAGTGCTATGGAATGGACTAGAGTGGGCAGAACAGAGTTGTAATAATTACCTACAAATTCAAAAGATAAGAAAATTACACAGTATCAGTTGAGTAAGACAAGGGCTAAGAGATCAACTTGCCTAAATAACCATAATGACTACATTCATCTAGCTTGGTAAAGGTGTTCACCAGGGAGCAGAAAATGGGCCAAGGACTAATAGACCTACTTATTATTCAGAATACCAGAAACCTGAATATAGTGTATAAACTATGCAGAGACTCCTAAGATAAAAGCAGACTAAAACAGGAAGACTTTGGAATCCTAAGATCTATGACCTGGAGTACCTTATAGTCTGAGACAAATTACCACAGCCTGGCAAAAGCCTGGTCGGGGCTTACCAAGTGAAGATGTCTATACCAGAATCCTTAAAGGAAGTCAAGAATGAAGTGGAATCTCAGATGCCAAGGTTACATTACAAAACAGACAATCAGCTGAGTTCCTGATGCTATGTGTTTCAAGACTAAGCACTTTGTGAAAACTATACACCTACCATTCAATTTCTGCTCTTCCTAACCCAAACTATCAAAACCATTCTGTCTACACTGGTCAAATGTACAGTGCATAAAAATAAGCTGGAGACTAAGAAATACACTAAAAGCACAAGAAAGCTTGAAGAAAAGATAGCATAAACTAGCCCAGAACAGCAGAAATGTGTTGAGAGAAACAAAACTTCTGAACCCTAAAACTTTATATTAGCACCCTAATAGGTTGGGACCAACAGCCCTCCCCATCAAGAAGCTATAAACAAGTCACAGGAACAGACCCACCATACAAGAGTTCATTAGCCAAACCCCAACAGCAATTTTCACTTACTTTGGAATTCTTTAGTGTGCTGGGAGTGCTTTCTGGAATGGCTGGATTCTTGGAGATTCGAGCAGCAAATGGTTCATACATATGGTACAGAGACCGGATCACACATGCCCGGAGACAGCGCAGCTTCTCCATGGACTCTGGTCGAAGCCTCAAAGGCAGAGAAGCATCCAGCGTGTAGTGCCTGAAACATGACACATGACTCCTACCAATATGTGACCTGTCTCTCCTGCTCTTATTCAGTCCCCTAGGACTCCTGGTTTCCATGTGAACTTTGTTCCACTACTCCACTGCTGGATACCAGCTTGCCCAGTTCTCACAGAAACTGTTACCATCACCATCTCCTTACATTATTGACGGCTTTTGCTTCTTCACCTTGTAACTCTGTAGTTTTCTACCTTTTCTGGGTTAAATTTGGACTATTTCAGGCTCTACTGAATTACAAGCCTCTACTGTTGACAGTATAATATACTTTAGTTGCTCAAAGAGGACCCATCCTGGCGAAGAGCCGCTGGGTTCCCTGTCAGACATCTCAGCACTTAGCATCTGTCCCACGACAGTTCAACAGTTCAGAAGTCCACTACAGCTCTGTACTCCATATTAAAATCTAGCACTTTTACTGTAATAAGATAAACCTCTGAGGGAAAATCTAAGTTCTTTCTGAGGTCTGAAGTAATACTGCTTACAAAAAAAAAAAAAAAAAGCCAGGCATTGGTGGTGCATGCCTCTAATCCCAACACTCGGAAGGCAGAGGCAGGCAGGTCTCTGTGAGTTCGAGGCGAGCCTGGTCTACAGTGTGAGTTCCGGGACAGCCTCCAAAACAATACAGAGAAACTCTGTCTTGAAAAAAACAAAAACAAAAGGCACTAGCCAAGGTAAGGTGGCAACCATAGAGAAAACAATCACCTGCATGAATCAGTAACATAAAATTTATAGAGGTATCAAGAGGTTCAAAGCTAGGGTCACGCCAAAGCATAGAGTAAAGAAAATGAGAAGAGCACATCATCTTGGGCCTAGCTCCAATTCACAAACAGCACAAAATCAGCTACAGAGAAAACACTGGCACTCTGTGGTCGCACCTTCGGTACAACCTGGTCCAAAAGGCAGCAGTGCAAGTGACAGTCCAAGCATTCTTACAAATCAGGGAAAAATTCACAATGTCCTCAGGACGGATATAGGAAGCCAGCAGCAGCCAAATATCCATAGGATACTCTTCTCCTCCAGCCCCATCCAGGTCCTCTGAAACAGAAAAAAGAACAATATTCTGTGTTCCACTATTACACATATACCTAAAGGTATTCATCCCAACTCTCTCATCTTATGCATTAAGAAAGGAGTCCAAGGAAGCCCCTCAAGCTGATGGCTTCTGATAATTCCAGCTGATTAAATCTTCTATTAATGTACTAAAGGCCTTTGTTGTGTGTATATACATGTGTGTATACACTTTCATGTGTAACCACGTGTATGTGTGTTTGAAAGCCAGAGGTTCATCAATTACTTTTCTACCTCATTTTTTGAGATGAAGTCTCTCATTGAACCTGGAGCTCACCAACCAGGATCCAGCTAAGCAGGCTGGCCAGCAAGCCCCAGGAACCTTCCTACCTCTGCCTCAGCACTGCTGGGGCCACACACCCACACTGCCAGTCTTGTCTTTTTACATGAGTGCTGGGGACCTGAACTTATGCCTTCATGTATGTGCACCAAGTGCTTCACCAATTAAGCCATCTTCCCATCTATCAAAGGCCTTTAAAACACAACTATTTGTATGTCATTTAAGTTTTCAACGTCCCTTTGTGTATATTTTAACTATTAACTCCAATAATTCTTTAACAGAAATGAAGAAACTATTATTTATTTTTTGGTTTTTGCTTTTTTAGTTTTTCGAGACAGGGTTTCTTTGTGTAGACCTAGCTGTCCTAGAACTGACTGGCCTTGAACTCATAGAGATCCACCTGCCTCTGCCTCCCAAGTGCTGGTATTAACGGTGTATACCACCATCATCACTATCACCACTAGTAAAGGAACTATTACTAAGCCCATGTAAAAAAAAAACAGACACTGGGGCTGAAGAGATGGCTCCAAACTTTAGAGCACTTACTGCTTATCTTAAGGTGTTTATTTTGCTGTGGTAAACACCATGACCAAAAACAACAGAGGAAGGGGTTTAATTTCTTCTTACAACTCTCAGGTCAGTTTGTCACTAAAGTAAGTTATGGCAGGAAGTGAAACAGGAGCCATGAAGAAGTCCTATTCACTGGCTTGCTCCTCATGGCTTGGTCACCCTGCCCTTTTTTATTATTGTTATTATTATTGCTTATGCCATAGAATGTGTATATGTGCGAGGGCATAAGGACATAGTATGTGCGTTGAGGTCAGAGAGTCTCTCTCCTTCCTGATGTGGGTCCCAGGGACTGAACTCAGATAGTCATTTCATCAGCCAGGACCATCGGACAGGGAGGCACCACTCACAGTGGGTCAGGTCTTCCCATATTAATCATCAATCAAGAACACACACCACAGGTTTGCCCACAGGGCAACCTGGTAGGGACATTTTCTCAACTGGGGTTCTCTCTTGCCAAATATCTCTACCTTGTATCAAGCTGACAAAAACAAACAAAAACATCCCAACCAGGACACTGCTCTTTCAGGAGCCAGGCATGATAAATGCCTGACAAATGCCTGAAATTCCAGCTCCAAGGAACCCAACACTCATTCTGGCCTCCATGGGTTCCCATACAGACACAATTATATACATACATGGAGACAGAAGTTCGCGCATGCAAAGACGCATGAATACACCACACACACACACACACACACACACACACACACACACACACTTTTTTTTTTTTAATGAAGGGACTGGAGAAATAGCTCAGCAGTTACGAACACTTGATGGATACTCTTCCAGTTTGGGTCCCAGTGCCCATCAGGCCACTCATAACTACCTACAAATTCAGAAGGGAATCTAACTCCCTCTTCTGATCTCTGCAGGCATGCAAATAATTCACAAACACACACATACATATACATAAAAAAGATAATTGATATCCACTATAATTTCATAAGTAAAATAATAAGTATAGACAAGGATGTGGAAATATAACAATGTTCATATGCTGTTGCTAGAAGTATCAAATGATACACCCATTTTGGTGACTCCTCAAAAACTTATAGAGTACCACACAATCCAAAAACTGCATGACTACTTATTACCTATTAGAAATGAAAGCATTTACCCACACAAAACTTATCCCTGAAGTTGCTTTATAATGCAAAATAGCCAAACACAAGGCAATAAAAATGAACTGTTGGGCCAGGTGGTGGTGATGCATGCCTTTAATCCCAGCACTCAAGAGGCAGAAGAAAGAGATCTCTGGGTTTGAGCCCAGCCTGGTCTACAGAGTGAGTTCCAGGACAGCCAGCTACATAGAGAAACCCTGTCTCAAGAAAACAAAAAAACAACGAAAAAGAAACTGTTGGTACATACTCCATATGGATGAACCTTAAACACATTAAGCCATGTGAAAGAAATCAGACTAAAATAACATGTTATCATTTCATTTGTATGGAACTTCTACAACAGGTACATCTGCAGAGAATGAAATCACATCGGGTGGGGGGACAGGGAGCAGTGATGCTGATGGTTTGGGAATTCTTTTTGGAATGATGGAAATGTTCTCCACTTAAAGACAGCAGAACAATTGAGGAAATAGCAAAACTACTCAAGTATATGCTCTAAAATATAAGTAATGCACACATATACTTGTAGACAAACTCATATTCCATAACTTAAAAAAAGCCTTTAAAATTTTTAAAGCATAAATTGGAAAATTTCTGAAGAATGTGAACACATAGATATCCATATATGCAAACAGATATATATATGTACACACATATATAAAGGAAATATACAAATGTATACACACATACATACACACATATACGTATACATATATATATAACCTAGCAAAATTAAGAAAGAGTAAAGTGCAATAAACATTGCTGTCAATTGGGGAACCCTGGAAGAGAGATATCACTGACAATAACAGGTATAATAGCAATACCACCTCTTAGAGCTCCCCATACACTGAAAAAAGACAGCATCAATCACTCCAGACAGAACTGAGAAAGCTCTGGAGAGCAAGCCCATACCTTTGTGTCTCCTGCTCTTCTTTTTTCTGGAGACTGATCTCTCATGAGTGCTCTCTTCCTGAGCATCCATCTCATCGCTGCTGTCTATGACGTCACACGGCTCACCCACCCCAGAAAGAGCCTCCTCTGCAGGAACCTGGGAGGCTTCCAAGCCACAAAGAGATTTTACTAGGAGCAAACAAGGAAAGAAGTAAATGCACCTGGTCCATCTAAAAACACTTGGCCAATGTATCAGCAACCATGGAGGAGAGAGGAAATGTGGAAGAATGCTGAGGGCTGAGGATCTATAACAAAAACTGAAACCAAATTGTAGTATATTAATAATAAAAAAAGAAAGAAAGAAAGAAAGCAATTGGTAAACTGTCTCTAAAGTTGCAGAAACTGACTCCTTCCAAGTGCCAACTTCGGGAGAGGGTGCACAATTCACACACTGTGAGCCCTGCAGACATTAAAAGCAAAGTCTATTCTCATGCACCTCAACTCTGAGGAGCAAGGGCTTAAAAGAGACAGGATCCAATTTAAGCCTGTCCTTACACTGGAGACATGTGACATAAAACACAAATCTAAGAGATCCAACTGCTAAAATCTTGAACATGTCAAAAAGAAAATATGCCAAAGTAATAGATGTCAATTGCATGGCAAAATATATATAAATTACAAAGACGGAGGGACTGATATCAAGAAGTGACAGAGGAAGGTAATGAGCACACCAAGTCGTGTGGAATTCTGTTGTTTGGGGGGGGTTGTTCTTTTGAGACAGTTTCTCACTATTTAGACTGCTGTGTAAACCGGGCTAGCCTTGAACTTAAAAAGATTCACCTGCCTCCCCAATGCTGAGACTAAAGGAATGCCTACCCCATCTGGTCACTAGTTGTTTTTCTTAACTCAAAGAGGAAACGAAATATCTCGGCTCCAGAACCTGTCAGCAAGGCTACACACACCCATCCCACCCCCAACACGAGAAAGCAAACAGTGAAACGAGCAAACACGCTCATGGCCAGATGCCCAAAGACCTGCAGGAAAAACACCGGGGCAAAACCCAGGAAAATACAACACCCAATGCTCTCTTAAAAGATCCGCGAAAACCTACCTTCCTGCTGAACAGCGTTGGCCACGGCTTTCTTGACCCGTCCAGACCTCACCACCGCCGGATCCGAGTTGGCATAATCGGCCACGGTCACTGAAACAGAGCACAGCACCAAGGCCTCCTCACACTCCAGGCAAAGTCTCTCCAGCCGCTCCCGGTGGAGTCTTCCCTGCCAGAGCCTGCAGCCCAGGCCCCCTCCGCCGCCCGGCCCCGCCCCTCGCCCACCTCGGCCCGAGCAGGCGTCGTGGGCCCGGAACTTGAGCCGCTTTCCTCTCTTGGGCATGGCGACAGTGTCCGAATGAGGCCCGCTTAGCTGTCCGGGGCCGCGGGCCATGTCTCGGCCCCGAGAGCCGGCTCCCGGAGCCTCGGAGCACTTCCACCCGGCTCCGCGGCCATCCCGCACCGAGGTCGCAGCTATCGCGATGATAAGCGAGGGCTCTGGGTCCCCTAGGTTGCTGACGCCCCTCTTGGGGAGCCAATCGCCTCCAGGCCCATGAACACGTCATCAGCCGGTGCCCTCAATTATAGCTGAGGCTGGTTCCCTAAAGGTGGCTGCCTGCGTACAGGGCGGGTTCCTTCCTTATAGTCTTTTCTGGGGCGTTTGGTGTGTTAGACTCAGTCCCCCAACCGGCGTTAATTCGAACCAACAGTTTACATCCTGTCTCCCGAATTATTCCTGCCAGAGACTATTCACGCTTCAGGTCCACTTCACCGTCTAGATTGCATACACATTGTTGTCTTTCCCACTTAACTTCAAAGTGTTCGTTATAATTTCATTTGCAAAAGTTTTGAAATCCTCCATCAAGGCCTATGGCTAACGCCTGTAATCCCAACATACAGCAGGTGGAGGTGGGAAAAGCCAAGGTTCAAGGTCATCCTCAGTTTGTAGTCCACTGGGCTACACATGAGATTCTTTCTAAAGAATAAGTAAATTAATGTCAATTCTCAAAGTAGAAGGGATTCTTAAAAGGTTTCTCCATCACTGTCATCCAAGCAAGTTCTAGAAGGATAGATTAAAAAAGACTATCATATTTCCTTTGTATTGAAAGAGAAGTCGTGAGTTTTGTCTTTATCCTAATTTCCTTTCAGCTCCCCAAATGTAACAGTCCCTGGCTTAAGAAACAGTCCTTTGCCACGAGGTAGTAGCGCAGACCCTTTAATCTCGGCACTCTGGAGGCAGAGGCAAGCGAATCTCTGTGAGTTCGAGGCCAGCCTGGTCTACAGAATGAGTTTCAGGAAAGTCAGGACTACACAGAGAAGTCCTGTGTAGGGAAAAGGGACCAGTCAAAGAAACACACCTTGAGCAGAGCCAAAGAAACACACTTTGGCCCTGCAACCAGAACCAAAGAAATGCACCCTGACCCTGAAACCAGTGCCAAAGGAACACACTTTGTCCCTGGAATCAGAGTAGGTGAAAGAAATGCACCCTGGCGCTAAAATTGGAGCCAAAAGGCTAAAAAGGACCAGAGAAAGAAACACACTTTGGCCCTGAAATCTGAGCCAAATCTGACCCTAATCCTGTGCAGAAAACTAAACCAATCCTCGAGCAGAGCTCTAGCCAGTCTGAGCTCAGCACTAAAATCAGACCAATCCCTACCCTGGAAAAACTTCCCTGCCCCCAAGAATCCCTATATAAACCCTGTGTATGCTCAGCTTGACCAGTCCAGCTGCTTCCTTCCAATAAATGCGTTTGATGAGCTTCGGGTGAAGATCTTTTGCAGTGGTGGCAGTGGAGCAGAGCAAGCAGCGCTGTAACACTTGTTCCGGGGAAACCTTCCCCTGGCAGAGCAGAGTTCCGCTCTCTGCTCTCTGCTCTCTGCAAAGCTGAAATGTAGCAACCTCACCCAAGAAACCTCCTGCTGAGCAAAACTGCTACACTGGGTGAACATTCCCAGCTGGAAGACCCTGTCATGCTGGATCAAAGCGGATACACTAGGGAAGCCTTTCCCTGAGGCAAGGCTGTAAACTACTAAGTTTACTACAACCTGTGGTGGTCCTTGGCTTCCCAGCTCCAGGATCCCTTTCTTTTTTTTTTTTTTTTTTTTTTTTTTTTTTGGTTTTTCGAGACAGGGTTTCTCTGTGGCTTTGGAGGCTGTCCTGGAACTCACTTTGTAGACCAGGCTGGCCTCGAACTCACAGAGATCCACCTGCCTCTGCCTCCCGAGTGCCGGGATTAAAGGCGTGCGCCACCAACGCCCGGCTTCCAGGATACCTTTCTATCTGAGCTGTGTAACACTCAGTATTTTGTGACTCCAGTGCCAGAATACCTGTCCCAACCGGATCCGTCCGAAACGCTTACACTCTGTCTCAAAAAAACAAAAAACACACAAAAAACAGTCCTTTTAACCCAGGCAGGCATCCAACTGGCAAGATCATCCAGGAAGTGTCCTCTAAGACACTTCAAAGGGGAATTAATTTTAATCTAATTAAATAATACTCTGCACAGAGAAGTTCATTAAGAGAAAACCACTTTTTTTTTTACCAGAATTATGAAATAGACTATCACCAGGGATTGTGTATTAACACTTGGGTCAATTAGAAATTATAATTGAAACAACATAATTGGTTATAATTATAATATACTTTAATTTATCTAAAATTATTACAGGAACAAAGGGTATAATAGACTAACTAAAATTGGTTCAAATAATTTTCCATGTATACATAAGTCATGTCTGTAGTTGAGTGCAAAATACAGCTGGTCAGTACTGAGCCTTCTCATCTCACATTACTAGTTAAAAATTAATGAAGCTTTCATGCGTATAGATCTCTGCTCAGTGGCACTCTTGAATATTCCATATCCGGTAGTCTGGAGGGAACCCAAAAAAAAAAAGATTTTATCTGAAATGTTCAAATGTCCTCCCATTTTAATGCTTTGGAATGAAAGAAATTCTAGCCACCCCCCAATTTTTCTCTTTCAAAATTTGACTGAGAATTTTTTTAATGGTTCTTCAAGACAGGGTTTCTCTATAATAGTCCTAGCTGTCCTGGAATTCACTTTATAGACCAGGCTGGTCTGGAACTCACAGAGATCCACCTGCCTCTGCTCTGCCTCCCAAGCGCTGGTATTAAAGGTGTGCACCACCGCTGCCCTGCTTAAGGTCCCTTCTTAAAAACCTACACTGGTTCTATATGGAATCTTTGGTCAGTCCTCTTGAAGACATCCATCACAATGAAACTTCCTATTGGAGGCAGATCAGTAACATGAAAATTAAAATAAATACAGATTGTTCTCTTCTGTGTCCTACTTTTCAAAAGGAAGAGTATATCCAGGAATGGTGACACACACCTTCAATCCTAGCACTCAGCAGGCAGAGGCAAGAGATATCTGGGAGTTCCAGGAAACCTGTTCTACATAGCAAGTCCCAGGCAAACAAGAGACTTCTCAAAAATAAAAAATAAATTTAAACAGAGCATAGATCTGTTGCTTGGGTCAAAAATCTACAGGTGTAGTACACACCTGTAAGTCCAGCATTTCTGAGGCAGAGGCAGAAGATCATGAGCTTAAGGCCAGCCTAGATAGGACCTTGTGTCACAAAACCAAGGGCTGGGGCTGGGACTCAATGACAGAACACTTGCTTAGCATGTAACCCTGGGTTTGATCCCCAGGACTTGAAAAAAAGTCTCTGCCACTTATTATACATGTAACTTTATCTCTTATCTGCACAGTGTGGGTAATATCACCTGCTTGACAGTATTACCAAATGATTACATTAACTCATAAAAAAAGCACTTAAAATAGCATACAGCAGGGCTGGAGAGATGGCTCAGAGGATAAGAGCACTACCTGCTCTTCCAGAGGTCCTGAGTTCAATTCCCAGCAACCACATGGTGGCTCACAACCATCTGTAATGGGATCTGGTGCCCTCTGCTGACCTGTGGGCATACAGACATATGCTATATACATAATAAATAAATAAATAAATAAATACATTTTAAAAATAGCGTACAGCAAGCACCCAATAAACATCAGCTGTTGTTATCGTGGTAGACAATGACAGTTGAATTGTGCTGCTGTTATGTAAAGATCCTTAAATGGGCTAGATGTCTCAGTAGGTATTTTCCATCCAGCCTGATGACTCTTTGCCTCTACTTCATGAAGACAGACCCCAATGCAGAGTCACAGTCAAGACAGCCCATTCCAGCAGATTAAATGCTAACAGACGAGCTGGTGTTTATTGAGTCCTAGCCTGCAAGTGATAGGGTTAGGTTTCAAACAGAGGACTATGTCCCAAGCTCATATCTAAAGCCAGTATACTATGTCACCTAGACAATGAGCATTAATAGCCTAAAAAAATCAATATACTGCTGGGCGTTGGTGGCGCACGCCTTTAATCCCAGCACTCGGGAGGCAGAGGCAAGCAGATCTCTGTGAGTTCGAGGCCAGCCTGATCTACAGATCAAGTTCCAGGACAGCCTCCAAAACAATACAGAGAAACCCTGTCTTGAAAAAAAATCAATATACCACGGAAATAATGGAGCCATATAGTGGCATCATGGAGAAACTCTGTAAGACAAAAAATGAATGGGAAGGTTACTTAATACAGTCCCATTATACATCAAAGCTATGGACAAGGTCTAAGAAGGATTCAATTCTGAGTAAGAGTTCAGTAGCACAAAGTTTATTAATTAAATCTAACTAAAAAGTGCTGTGACTAGCTTTGCAAGCCTTATTTAAACTATATGGTTTAAAAAATAGTTTTGGTTAAGTTCAGATGCTGAAGTGTTTTCCAGTTAAAATAAGAATAAAAAGATTAGCTAAATGGGCTGGGCAGTGGTGACACACGCCTTTAATTCCAGCACTCGAGAGGCAGAGGCAGGCCAATCTCTGTGAGTTCGAGACAGGAGACCAGCCTGGTCTACAAGAGCGAGTTCCAGGACAGCCTCCAAAGCCGCAGAGAAACCCTGTCTCGAAAAACCAGAAAAAAAAAAAAAAAAGATTAGCTGAATGAAAGGGCCTTAGGGCTAGTCTTAGAGTTGAAAGTGTTAAGTGAGAAAGTATACAGGAAGCTCTTAGTTTGGTGTTTGGTACATAGTATGTACTCAATAGATATCAACTACAATTAGAAGCAGAGGTATAGTATTGGAACTTACAGTCTCATTGAAGTTTTATAACAATTGATCTGGCCCCACACCAAAGATTCTAGGCACCTAAAGTTTTAAAATCTCATCCCCGGGGGCTGGAGAGATGGCTCAGCAGTTAAGAGCACTGGCTGCTCTTCCAGGGTTCATTTCCCAGCACTCACATGACAGCTCACAACTGTCTGTATCTCCAGCTCCAGGAGTTCTGACACCTTCACACAGATACACATGCAGACAAAACACCAATGTGCATAAAATAAAAATTGATTAATTTTAAAAATAAAATCTCATCTCCAGGGGATGAAGAGATAGCCAGGTACTTAAGAACAGATTCTTCGAGACAGGGTTT